TACCAGTCAGCTTGTCTGCTCCCCTAAACTGTAAATGCCAATAAGCTTTCTTCTTCGATTATTTCATAGATTTATCCATCTTAATAAGCCATAGCTTCTCCCTTGTTCTTCAGATGCAGCAGAGGCTTCTCTTGCCTCTGGATGTGTGTTCTGGATTGTGATTCAATTCTTCTGTGTATGTTGCAAATAAAGCTCCCTTCACTGGAGATTCATCTCTCTCCCTTTTAAACTTTGTTTATTCATAGCAGGGAAGAATCTAAATCAAAAGCAAAGAGGGAAACTTAAACCATAGAGAATATCAGCCACAAAGTAAAAATTTTTGCCTAGAGTTACATTCCCTCCTAATCTCATCTTTTCTAAATCTCTGGAAAATGCCAAACTGTGTCTAAAGTCTTAACAAATGCTTTGCCTAAGAGTCAGGCAATAAGTATTTCCAGGTGAGCATGTTACTGAATAAGTTGTTAACCACCTTAGTGCATGATTCTCCAATTACCTTTTCAGAAATGATGTGCAAGAAGAATCCAACCGGAAGGTGAAACCTTAACTCTCTGATTGGTGTGAAATTGATCTCTTCCTTTGTCCTGAGTGATTAAAAAAAAAAAAAGCCAAATCAATTTAAGTGCTGAATTGACAACCTGGAGATTCAAGTGTCAATAGATATATATTTGCTAAGAGAGGGTAAGATAAAGCCTGTGGTAAAAATTAAATTAAAATGCCTTCAACAAGTTGTTAAGTAAAGCCAGAGTCCTTAATTTGCAATGGTGCATCACATAGCCTGGCCCACAAACATGAGGTTGCAGATCTTAAGATGAAGAGTGGTCCCATTTAGGACACTTCCTCCACCATTTATTAAGGATCCTTGCTTCTTCCTCAGAGCACACTGCCAGTTGATCAATGCTAAGATTCAAGTCTTCTATTCACTGTAATATTACCAATAGTGAAGCAAAATGTTTTATCTCTGCATGAAGGGATCATAATGTCACCACAGTAATAACACAGCAAAGAGCATGGCTGATGCAACTCAGTGACCAAGTACTTGCCTGACATGTGAGAAGTCCTGGGATCCATCCATCCGCAGTGCCAGCAAAAAGACAAAGACCTGCCCAAAACTCAACCGAGTCCTTTGGTGAGGTTTTGTTTATTTGGCACAGCATACACAAAATAAGCAGCATGTTTATCTGGTCTTCATCTTTACAAAGAGAAACTCCTGAAAAACAGGATCTGTACACAGCAGTTTAAAATAATGGATGAGATCAAACAAAATAACAGTCTAGGAAATAAGTGAAATGTTTGGCTTTCGATAAAAGACAAATGAACAATGGGCACAAATTGGAACTGGCTCACCTGAAGGTCACACCAACACTAAGAAGTACAGTTCTCAGAAGGGCATGGTTCTCTATTGCCTACCAATATCAACACCCTGGGAGTTTATTGGAAGGAAATAAATCCAGGTAATCATTCTTATAAGGTTGGTAAGAACATTTATTCCAGACCAAAAAAAAAAAAAAGACTTAGGAAGATTATTACATTGTCTTTAAATGATGAGAAAGTAATTAGCATATAGTATATAAATTCTATATACTACCAAACACTCTGCTTCTCGATGCCACCTCAACAATAGTATTAAAAATGTATTGCTACTAACAGTGCAGTTGACAGAACTCTAGGACTTAATTCTAGTATTAATCATTTAAGAGAAAGAATTCAGGGGAAAGATGATACTAAACTTTCTCGGTGCTGAAATGGTCACCACAGCAAAGAGAGATTAAAGTCATTCTAATTAGCTAAGAACACTAAAACATAGACTAATAATAGAAGTTGTGTCTCGGCAGAATGGTGGTGTATTGAAGGTAAATGCCTTGCCATTTGGAATCCTGTAACATGATACGGTACTTTGACAAGGTTGTTCAGGAGTGTGTGAGTGGTGACTGAGAGGAGATGGGGTGGTTGCAATGTTGTGTCTGGTCTTTACTGAACAGTTTTCTAATTTCTTACCACAAGGCATCTTTCTGTGAGTCTAAAGGAATCTTGAGTATTTTGATGTGACATGAGTCAGGCTGTTGCCCAACATGTGGCTTCTGGATTCAGAGCAACAGATTTCTTAGTGTTCCTCTCTAAGTGTGATGGAGGGACTGGAAATGACATGTTGCCTTTGGTGCAGGAGCTCAGAGATGCCTGATAACCAGCCCAAAATTAAAAACATACCCTCCCAAATTTTGCTCTTCATCTACTATGAGAATTCAACCTTTTCCTATGAGCACCTGGTACACCCATCACTGCCCCCATTTCTCACTTTTGAATTGAACAGGAACACAGACATTTCTAGCCTAGGGTCAGTTTGAAAACATCATGAACAGGCTTTGGGTTCTAGAGCAGTTTGGTGCCAAAGAGAAAAACAAAAAAAACTTCCAAAGGTGACTTTTGTACATTTAAACAGCATTTCTTTTGAGATTTTAGCTGTCTGGGTGCTGTTATTGGGTGTGATTCATTTAATAATTATATCCTTAACACCACAGCCCCTGGTGACCACAAGTCAGTATATATTAATAAGATATTCTAATTTTATCTGAGGTAAATGTTTTGGCAAAGCTAAGCTCTCTTCTTCTATTTAATTATCTACAGAAAGCTGATTCACTTTCATCCATATCTTTTCAGATTTTTTCTTTGTCCTATTGCAGGCAATCTTCAGGGGCCTCTTCTTATACCCTACCTCCATTCCTTTCGTACTCCACATCTTGGTGCAGACCTAGCTCAACTCTTTCCCACAAACACTCCCAGCCTTCTCTGTTTAGTCTATCTCCATTCCTTTCTCTCCATTCTCAGTCATCAATCTGCAGAAACACCTTCTATCATGGATATCCAGTGGCAACACTAGGCTGGGACCCAGTTAAGTAATTTTCACTATCCTTCCTATCCTCCATCATGATCTCTCCAGACTCACTCATAGTCACTTAGAAACCCATCTGAAGCTTATGAACAACAAGAAGAAATAACATCTGAAAATAGGAAATGGGAGAAATATTCCAACTCAGGGCTATAATCAATAGAATAAGATGAAGAAGAAGAAATAGGAGGAGGAGGAGGAAGAGGAGAGAGAGAGAGAGAGAGAGAGAGAGAGAGAGAGAGAGAGAGAGAGAGAGAATGAGAGAGAGATGAAACCAGTAGGAAGAATTAAGGAAAGGGAGAGTTAGAGTTAATTCCTTGAGAAAATCAAGATTCACAAACCCTTCATCAAATTAACCAAAAGAGAAGATACAAATTAATAAAATGGAGATGAAAGAGAGACATAGGAAACAGAAAATTCAGGGAGTAATATGGACACACTTTAAACATCTGTGTCCCATCAAACTGGAAAACCTAGAAGAAATGGATAGATTTCTTCATGTATATGACCTACACAAGTTCAATAAAGATCATATAAGCAACTTAAACTGATTAATAACCCCTAAAAAATTGAAGCAATAATTAAAAATTAAGTCTCCCAACCAAACCAAACCAATATAAATTCCAGGGACATATGGATTCAGTGCAAGATCCTACTAGACCTTTGAAAAAGAATTAATCTCAGTATTTCCCAAATTATTCCACAAAATACAAACTGAAGGAAAATCCCCCAATTCTTTCTACAAAGACACTTTTATCCTAATACAAAAACTACACAAAGACTCCACCAAAAAAAGAGATATATTATAGAGTAATATCTTTTATTAGCACAGATACAAAACATTGCAATAATATACTTAAAAACTGAATCCAAGAATGTATCAAAAGATTATCCAACATTATCAAGTTGGCTTCAACTCAGAGATGCAGGGATGGCTGAACATGTGTAAATCAATAAATGTAATCTACCTCATAAACAGACTGAAAGACAAGAATCATATAACCATTTCATATTAGATGCAGAAAAGGCCTTTGACAAAATCCAACACACTTTCATGATAAAAGAGAGATTAGGGATACAAGGGACATACTTTACCACAATAAATGCAATTTCTATCAAGCCCACAGACAATATCAACCTAAACAGAGAGAAACTCAAAGCATTTCCACTAATCAGGAACAACAAAAAGAGGATGGTCACTCTCTCCATATCTATGCATTGGAGCACTTGATGTTTTATCCAAAAAGACAACTGAGGGAGATCAAGGGGATTCAAATAGGAAAGGAAGACGTCCAACTATATTATTTGCGTATTGTGGTGGTTTGAGTAAGAATGGCCCTCATAGGCTACCATATTTGAATGCTTAGTCATCAGGGAGTGCTATTACATGGGAAGAATTAGGGGAGATGACCTTCTCCGAGTAGGTATGGTCTTGCTAGGGGAAGTGTGTCACTAGGTTTGGCCTTTGAGGTTTCAAAAGCCCAAGCCAAGCCCAGGAGCTCTTTCTGCCTGCTGCCTGCAGATCCAAATATAGATTTCTCAGCTACTTTTCTAGCACTGTATCTGTCTGTGTGTTGCCATGCTCCCTGCCATGATGATAATGGATAATGGACTAAAACTCCGATGTCAGTGGTCTCAGTTAAATGCTCTCTTTTCTAAGAGTTGCCATGGTTATGATCTCTCTTCACAATACTACAATGCTGAACAAAACACATATGAAATTATTCGTACACAAAAAACCCCTAAAACTCTACCAGGAAACTTCTACAGCTGATAAACAGCTTTAGAAAAGAGCAGAATACAAATTAACACAAAAAAATCAGTAGTCCTCCTATATACCAATGACAAAATACTGAGAAAGAAACAATACCTTTCGCAATACCCTCAAAAATATCTTGAGATAACTCTAACGAAGACAGTGAAGGACTTATATGAAAAATCTTTAAGATATTGAAGAAAGATTTTTTTTTTACTGGTTGAAAGCACCTTCTGCTCTTTTTTTTTTTTATTAAGAATTTTTTTATTCATTTTACACACCAACCACAGATCCCCTTCTCATCCCTCCTCCTGTTCCCCCACAGCCTTCCTCCCCCAGACCACCCTCCTATCCCCTCCTCTGAAAAGGTAAGGTCTCCCACAGGAAGTCAGCAAAGCCTGGCACATTCAGTTGAGTCAGGTCCAAGACCCTTCTTCTCTGCATCAAGGCTTTTCAAGGTGTCCCACCATAGGTAACAGGCTCCAAAACGCCAGCTCATGCACAGGGATAAATCCTGATCCCGCTGCCAGGGGCCCCTAAAACAAACAAAGCTACACAACTTCCTCACTTATGTAGAGGGCCTAGGCCAGTCCCATGTGGGCTCCACAGCTGTCGGTCTAGAGTTCCTAAGTTCCCAAGAGCTTGGTTCAGTGTCTCTGTAGATTTTCTCATCATGATCTTGATGCCCCTTGCTCATAGAATCCCTCTTTCATATCTTCGACTGGACTCCTCGAGCTTGGCCTGAAGAAGACAAGGAAAAAAATCAGCCATACGCATGGATCATTAAGATAAATATTACAAAAATTGACATCCTAACAAAAGTAATATATAAATTCAACACAATCCCCATCAAAATTCCAAAACAATTCATCACAGAAATTGAAAGTACACTCTTCACCTTCTTATGGAAACACAAAAATCCAAGGATAGCTAAAACAACATTGAATACCAAAAGAGTTGCTGGATGCATCAATGTTCTAGATTTTAGGTTGCACTACAGAGCTTTAGTAATTAAAACAGCTGGTATTGGCATTAAAAAAAGATGCTAATCAATTTAATTTCATCAAAGACCTAGACGTAAGTTTACGTACCTACAGACATCTGATTTTTTAGAAAGAAGCCAAAAATATACACTGGAAAAGACAGCATCTTCAACAGATTGTGCTGGCCAAACTTGATATCTGCATGTAAGAGAAATCAAATATACCCTTACTTATCATCCTGAACAAAAGTTAAATCAAATGGATCAAGGATCTCAACATCAGACCAAATATCCTGAACCTGATAGAAAAGAGAGTGAGGAATGGGCTTGAATTCATTGGTACACGAATATGCTTGCTGAACAGGATGCTAATTGCATAGCACAGGAACTAAGACCAAGAATTAATAAATGAGACTTCAGGAAGCTGAAAAGACTCTGTGAGACACAGGGCATCAGCATTGGTAGGGCAAAGTGACAGCCTACAGAACGGGAAAAGATCTTTGGTGAGAGGAGATTAGTAAAACATATTAAGAACTAATAAAACTAACATAAAAAAAACAAACAAATAAGTAACCCAATTAAAATTGGGCTACTTGGAACTTAGCACAGATTTCTCAGAAGATGAAATACAAATGCTTGAGAAACATTTAAAGAAATCAACATTCCATTGGGAAAATGCCTATTTAAAAAGTCTGAATGGCTAAAATTTAAAAACAAACAAACAAACAAACAAACAAAAAGAAACCAACCAACCAACCAAACCACAAACAAAAAGCAAAACCAAACCAAACCAAACAGAAACTTACAGCACAGGCGGGCGAGAATGGAGAATGTGGGGAAGGGGAACACTTAATTATTCAGTGCTGGTGGGAGTGCAAATTGATACAGCCTCTATGAAAATCAGTGTGATAGTTTCTCCAGGAAGCTGGGAATAGATATACCTCAAAATTTAGCTATACTACTCTTGGGCATATTCCCAAAGGACTCTGTATTCTATTACAGAGACACTTGCTCATCCATGTTCACCAATGCACTATTCAAGTAGCCAGAAACTGGAACCGGCATAGCTATTCATTAGCTGATGAATGGATAATGCAAATGTGGTCCATTTATCGAATCAAATACTATTCAGTTGTTAAGAAAAACAAATTTATGAAATGCACAGGTAAATGGATGTAGCTAGTACACATAGTCAGGAGTGAGGTAACACCAACCCCAGAAGACAAATATTGTGTTTTCTCTTAAATGTGGATTTTAGCTGTTAAATCTTTGATATGTGTGCTTCAATCTGAGGTTAGGTACCTAGTAAGGGACTGTGAGAGAGAAGAGGATCTCCTAAGGGGAAGGAAGGAAGTGGTCACTAGCTACCACTGTGGGCAACGGAAAATCGGTTTGCTCCAAAGGAGTCTCATTGGATATATCCACCACCCTCCAGGGAGGCCGCATGCCTAGAAGTAGTAGCAGGGCAACAATAAATGAACTCAATGGTAATTCTGTAGACTTTTAAAAAATATCTCATTTTGCTTTATTTGGTCCTTTGTGTGTGTGTGTGTGTGTGTGTGTGTGTGTGTGTGAGAGAGAGAGAGAGAGAGAGAGAGAGAGAGAGAGAGAGAGAGAGAGAGAGAGAGAGATCAGGCTTTTGCTTTCTTATTTTGATTTCTGTTTTGGGCTTTGTGGTGGGGTTTGTGATTTTTGTTTGTTTCATTCTGAGGATGTCACTCATAGAAGAGCACAGGGATTTTTTAGAAATGAAAACATATTCTTAAGAAATCTCCGTGAAATACTAGGTTGCTACAACAACCTAAGGGGAAGAATTAAAGAAAAGCAAGTCTATAGAGGCAGTACTGAGAGAGAGCACATTGAGGGTAGCATTACAAGTTCTGTTAAGTAAGCTATAAATCATTATAGAAGGATTTATTTAATGATTCTCAGCAAAATAATGTGAACGAATCAGTGCTTTGGAAGGGTCTTAATGGCAAAGTAGAGAATATTCTTAGAGAACCACTCCTAGAGACAGTGCTCAAACCAAGATGCTGCTGTGGCCATACAAGGGAGACAGCAAAGCTTGACGTAGTCTGGAATAGAGAAAGAATTGTGAACAATCAGTCATGAGTGTGGAAATGAAAAAACATGAAATCCTCAATTGTGTTCTGTTTGTTCAAAAGCTAGCTTCCTCATAAGAGTCACAAATGAGCAGTTTACATTGAATGTGGAAAAAACATTTAAAATTCAACAGCAGCCTCTGTGAGATGGAAAACAAAAATGAACTTCAATCTGGTTTCAGGCACTGCAAAACAAATAACGTTCAACAATTACACCAGCCACAGGAGTTCCCTGGGGGAGGAACACATCAAAGGTGAAGGTAAGGATTGAAATGCTATGGGTTGGCACACAGGCACGCATCCAGTTTAAAATCGCTAGACTCCAAAATTCCAATGATTACAACTGCTAAGCTGAGATCTATATGCTGGGTAAAATTTAGAGTGTTAATTTTGAATTCTTAGTGAAAAGGTAGGATGTCTGATATGCTAACTATAAATTAATGGTAAGCCAAGCTCTGATGTACATACTTAGGAGAGAACATCAGCTCCAGAAGCTTAGACAGTCACTCTCCACAGAGTCAATGCTGCCTACCCTAACTCACTCCAAGGGTGTGGTTGCTAACCAGGTTCCTAAGTCAGTGTCTGTAGGTCACTCCTGAGATGAGTATGAATGAAGTAGGAGAATTACGGCATGTTTGTGTCTTTAGTGTGTCACTCAGGTTTGAAGTTTTGCTTCATTGATGCTGTGCCTACAGGACTTGCATGTAAGCTTGCTTTTTCTCCCCTTGTAGCCTTAGGATGAGCATAAAAACAGAAAATCCCCAGGATACTAGACTGTGAGTGCCCATTTGTGCTGTTCTGTGATGCGTTCATCTGCCTTCTCAACAGTCCTGCAAATGTATTCTCTGCAACTTTCAGCCTGTTCACCACAAGGCTGCTTGTATCTATACTCAAGGGAAACAAACAAACAAAAACAGAGAAAGCAATTTTAGGGATTTTGCGTGAAGAACTCAATAGATGCCAATGATGAGCTTCTATAAAACGAATATTTAATTAGTTTTTAAAAAGTGAATGCATTCCAATAACTAAAATCAAAATACATATTTCTATTGAAACAAGGAATATATATTTGTGACCTAGTTTGGCTTTTCCCAGAAGTGGGCAGATTCAATTATCCATGTCCAAATTGTATTTAGGAGTAAAAGGAGTACTGGTTTGGAGGTGGGGAGTTAAGGCTGAGAGCAAAGGTACAATCCAGGGTCAGTAAGTGAGCATGCCCTGCTATAGAAACCTGGGCTGGTGCCAGCAGAGCATTCCAGAATATCTGCATGACACAACAGCATTATTGGGATTGTATGCCAAAATTATCTTCCCAGGATCCCCTTAAGAGTAGGCTGCTTTTCTTTTTACTACTCTCTCTCCCCATGGTAAACTAAGAACGCAGCACAAAAGCCCCCATGATAGGAATTATTCATTCTGTCATAGCCAACATCTAAAGATGCATTTAATTCTTCTAGAAAGAGACTCTTCCATAGTTTCTTATTGGTGAGATCTCAGCCTCTTCTCTTTAAAGATGATCATCATTTATTAGCACTAACTCTGCATGAAATGATGGGTTGCCAGCAAAGATCTGATAGAAGCCAAAATGTATTTACTGGTTGGTGAAAGTTTCCACCAGAAAAGAAAATTACTGACAAGCATACAAAAAGATATAATATATCCAAAGTAAGGTATATAAATAGATGCAAATAAATAGATTGGAATACATTTTAGTATCCTTTCCTTGGAGAAATAACACATTACATGTTAAGTGGCTAAGCAAAAGCCTTCTCCCACTACAAAAATTTACAATATACTTGCAAGAAACTGTGAGGAAACAGGAGGAGATTCTCATAGCAAAGTGAGCACATGGCTTGGTGTGTGTTTTCAGCTCAGGAAGCTGTGGAAAGGATGAGGGGGGATGGGCAACGGAGTGGATACTCCCAATGGGAAGGCTTGGTGTATATTTATCTACTCTTTTTATTTATTGAGTTTTTTTTTTTTTTTTTTTTTTAGCAGAAGCAGAATTGTCCTTTAATTAGAACAATTGGAGGGCAGCAATCTCCTCTCAGGAGTGGAGGGAGACTACACGTCATGATGCAGAGGTCTTAGGGGTTCTATAGAGTGGGAAGGGAACCTTTGGGATGAAAGGTTCCATCTGCAAGACAGTTATCTGTGGCCTCAAAAGTGGTATTTTGATCTTATGAGGACTGTCCCAGATCCTAACAGCACACAGGGGTGACCAGTCAAGCTGTATTTCCTGTCTGGAGTGTCTCATCTCACTTGGAGTCTTTTACGTCATTAACTCATTACAGAACTTGCAGACAGGTTAAAAAATAAAAGGAGATGACATATTGTCTCATTGACTGTTGCCTTCAGAAGTGAGACAATGGAAGGAGGCTGAGGCTCTGGCCCTGGGATCTAAGGCAGAGACAGGTCCAGTTGGCTTCATACAGCAGGAGGATAGTTTAAACTCCATCAGCTGCGGTGGATCATGTAGGTGCTGCCATCATGTGCTTTGGAAACATTTAATTTAAGACAGGAGGCTCCAGTGAGTAAGATGAGACCACCGATTAGGGAACCCAGTAGAGGATCTAGCCAGGGTAGCCATTGTCCTAATGTGGGCCTGCTGATGGCACTGATTTGAACCAGGAGGAACTTCTGTCAGTTTAAAAAGCAGGGTAAAAATATGATTGTGAGGATAAGATGGAGGAAAGGAGTGATTAAGGGATGGATCCAGAGTGGGAGAGAAACAAGTTACATAGGAGGAGTCTTGTCACTGAACTTTTTGTCTGGTCTTTGGGTCTCATCTCAAAGCGGTTTGAGTTTGGTGGGTGATCAAGTGGCTGTGCTCTGGATCTTTGCCCTCTGTTGAGTTGCTTTTTTTGTTTTGTTTTTTGTTTTTTGTGGCTCCAGATGGACCCTTCTCTGAGGGACTCTAACTGCTGCCCTTTCTACATCAACCCTTTTATAAGCTATGTAGAAATTAGAGGAGTCTGAGGCCCCAAATCCCTTAAAGCAGTTCAGGTAACCTTTGAAAGGGGGACTAATGGGCCATGCATCTCATCCCTTTTCTTGCCTTTCTGGACCTCTGGGGATTTTTTTCAGCACGCAGAAC